ATATTGTCATTGGTTTTTGTGAGTCAATTATTTATTTATTATTTATTTTAATTTGAAATAATGTTATAGAACTAATATAAGATATTACTATTTTATTTTAGAGGAAACATTCCAGGGAATAAATTAGAACTGGGTGAGCAAATAATAGATTACATGAAACCATTTCCAGCTAGAGGTGTAGGTTATTATCGTTATATATTTACTCTTTACAAGCAAAATCAACGATTAGATTATGTAGAATACAAAAAAGATCAACCTTGGTAAGGAAAAATAGATTATATATATATAATTGTTTCTATCATATCATTATTTTTTATTTAAATCGATGTTTTTCAGTTTAACATTAAAAGAACGTAATTGGAATACGTTAGAATTTTATCGTAAATATCAAGATTATCTTACACCAGCTGGTTTAGCATTCTTTCAAAGCGATTGGGATCCTACAGTAAAAGAGTTTTATCATTCAGTACTAAGTGCGTATAGTCGATTTCACTATTTTTAATATATTATTTCGCTATTTAATGCGCCGTTATATATATATGTTTTGAAAAATTTTACTTACAGATACCAAAGAGCCAATATTTCAATATGATTTTCCAAAATTATATGTTAAACCACAAACATGGTTTCCAAAAAAAGAACCATTTAATCTTTATTTGGATAGATATAGAGATCCTAGAGATATAATGAAAGAATATTTATTAAGAAGATTACGTAAGACTCATCCTTTCAAAGAACCTGAACCACCCCTCAAGTATCCCAACGCTATTAAGTTCGATAAGTACTTACCTTCCTGGTTGAAAATACAAATTCGAAAGGAACGATTACAACGGGGCCGAATTAATAATATCTGAAATCAAATATTTTATAAATAAGAAATTTTATAGCTTAAGTAAATTGTAAAATATGTTTTTGTAAATAAATAAACGGAGAATATCATGAATGAAAAAAATATAGAGGAAGCATTGATTTCATACACACTTTATTTAAACATAGATGTTGTAATTAACTCATTCTTATATAGTTTCATCATGATAAATTAAAAGAGAAAGAGGAGAATCATTCTAATCTTAAATAAGCTTCTACAGCTTGTTTGCTTCTTAATTTAATCTCTGCTCGTGTTGGTACTAAAGTATCGATCGCTTGATGTTCAACAATGAGACCTAAAAAAACATAATAAAAATATTGTTACTATATTGCTATTGTATTGCTACTGTATATTAAATATTATAGTTTAAACATTCCTTATAGTATATTCACCCATCATTTATGCTTCTTAATAATTAATATTAATTTATCCAAAAATATTTACCCGGTGGTTCTACCTCCTCTTCTTTGAACTTAACGTTCGAGCGATAATTAGAAACGTAAGTTTGATATAGATCCCTTGCCCTCTCTTCTCTATCTTTGTCAAATTCGAAATTGCTCATTCCAAATAGTTGCCCCACTTTTCGACTAACATTAGACAACAATGCTAAACCTAAAGGAAAAAATAACAAGAGAAATGTGCAAATATATCAAAAAATTTATATCCCTAAATTCTAATCCCCTCCCCCTTTTTATCTTACTATCTGTCTCCATTTTTTCCATCATCGGAATGTCAATTTTTTTGTCTAGCTCTTCCGTTGGCTTCTTCGTAGGTACTTTGTTACCTCGTTTTACGCAAACCAACATTGCCACCATATTTTGTAACGCCGCCCTTATATCCATTAACAATTCGCCGTGTTCTTTTTTCACATTTTTTTTCTCAAGTTCACGTTTCTTTTGCATAGCAATCTGTTCCAACAAGATATTTTTATCCGCATTATATCTAAAAAAAAGTTGTATATTAGAATGAATCAGACACGAACAAAATTATTATGATTATTAAATATATTACATACTCTTCGACGTCAGCTACACGAGTGTATTCAAAATTGGATAGAGTAGATAATGCCTCCTTTTTTTTAAGCAACAATGCATCACGTTCTTTCACATTGCGATCAAATTGTTCCAGAAGTCGTGTTCGTTGTTTCATTTGATCTTCCAATCTTAATAAGATCGAAATAAAAGTTTAGAACAAGAAAAGACTGGACTTCATCGTTAAATTTTAAGTTTAATAATCGAAAATTGTTCAAAAATTATAAACGTTTAAAAACTAATAAACTGTATAAATTTTACAGTTTATTTTGACACCATATTCGTTCCGTGTAATTTATTAATTAATTTCACGTGCAATCAAATGTTTAATGAAACAAATTGATGATTGCACAAACAAGATATATTGTTTACAGTATAAACAAATCTTTATAGTGATAAAAAACAGATACCCAACGTAGATTCATAAATTGATTATATATATATATGTATATATTTTTTTTAATTAAAAATTATTGCAAAGAAAGCTACATTCATGAAATAATAAATCATAGTATTAAATTTATAAATAAATAAGATTGCTAATTGAAATTGAATTATTTAAATTTTGCAATGCTTGAAAGTTTATTAATTTTATCCTTTAGACAATTAAGATCGATATTGGATTATATTTAATTACAATTAGGTTAGAAAAGAATAATTTATAAACAAAAATCAATTGAATATTTAATGACAAATGCTAAATAGAATTTACAAAAATTGAATTTACAAAAGATTGGATGAGATAAAAGTCAGATTACAATGAAGATTTCGTGGATATTTATTATGATATTTTTGTAAAAAAAAAATAAAAATATGAATGATTCGATGTAGCTGTTGATTAAGTTAAATTTGATGTGGAAACTATATAAGAAATCAATTTAATTTGACATGATAAATAAAATTTTCTTTTTATGAAATATCCATTCAAATTATCCATTCAAATTATCAATATTAGTTGTTCAAAATAAATATATAACTATTAGCTCGAACGTAGGAATAAATTGAGAACGAAACTAATATGGCGCCAAAATAAGCGATAAAATATCCATTTTCAAACGCTCACAATTTTAAAAATTATGATTTCCAATCATCGAAAACTTATATTTTCCTATAATACTTATAATATATATACTTTCTTATAAGATAACATAAAAAAAAAACGAAGTTCAACTGAAAAAAAAAAAGATTTTATCAGACTAAGAATCATCATAATTTAAATAATCTTAAGCTAGAAAATTATTTCGATGGAATGAATTATCTATGGACTACCTTGAAAACATTTCTCGATAAGTATGCACAAGCAACGAATCTTTAATCTTATTAAACACATCTTCCAACGATTTTATTTGTTTGTCCAATATTTCGTTTGATTTAATTACATTCTCTTTCATTATCGTTACGCTCTGTAACAATATTTGACATTTATTGCAAATATTTTTTGTTTTTTTTCTTTTCAATAGTTTGCCAAATATTATTTGTATATAAAATGTACGTGTCTATTTGTTTCCACTTAATGCATCATGACTCACTTACTTCAGTTCTTATTAACGATTGTGCGTACGACCACAAATCCTCAACCTGTTCATGTAAATGTGCCAACATACGTTCCCTTTCTTTCATATTATTCCAAACGTCTCGTGTAATACGTTTATATTTCATTTCAATATCATTCGTTTCCTCGGCTGCGATTTGCCCCATTATCGTCGTTCGAAGTATCACTTTGCATTGACTTCTACGATCTAATTGCAAATTGTTCAACAACGTTTCGTAATACATCGCATCCTACGATTTTAAAATTATTAAAAAAATTATTATATCTTTTCTTTCTTTTTTTTTTTTTTTTTTTTTTTTTTTTTTTTTTTTTCACAACTTAAGCAGATACCTTTTTTAAGATTTTAAGTATAAAACTATACGTTAAACTTATCGCTCTTGCTGCATTTTGCTTCGCAACAGATTTTTGATAGAGCGATATCAATCGTTGATGCTCTCGATTTTGAGACCATTGCACTCTTTCCTCCAGTTCATAGATGCGAATCACTTCCGCATGCTCTATCTTCATTATTTGTTCTATATTATACATTTATATATATAAATGCGTAAATAAAGTAAAAGTGTAACATACTTGTAAACTGAAACATTCTTTCATTTTTCTTTTTTTCTCGAAACGGAGAATATCCAATTGGCGCCGTTTTTGATGATTTTCTTCGTAAATAGAATCATAAACGTGCTGCGTAACCGAAAAAATTTTGTGAAATCTTATAGATTGTTTATATGTATATATATATATATATGTATGTAAGAATAAAAAAAAAGCACGTGCATAATTGCTATTAAAAAAAATATATATATATTAGAATTTATTTAGAATTTACCTCAGTTTCATGTCCGCGATATTTCAATCGTAAACGTTTACGAGCTTGTAGCATACTACATACTTCACCTTTCGGAGTTCCTTTTGTAATCTCTCTGATGATTTCATGATAATTTTTTATATCACGATTGTATGAATTCAATTGCCACAATACCTTTTTCTTTAATTTCAAGACATCTTGGAATCTTATTTTCTTTTGACGTGCTAAATTTTACGTTTATAAAAATTTTATAATAAAAAAATTTTATAATAAAAACGTAAAATGATAACATAAAATATCAAAGTGTAGAAGATGAGGAAGGAATAAAAAAAAAGTGATCAATTTATGGTATTTAATTTTTATTTCATTATTAACAACATCATTTTCAGCCAAAATCATTTGCATCTTCTATCATCTTCTCCATTCTTGTATTATAAATCATATATTTTATTGTATAAGAGAAATAAGCAAATGAATATCACAAAAAGATTTTCTTACCATATAATTTAAGGACTCCGCGATATTGATCTAATTTATCTTTCGTCGTCCATCTTACATCTTTAATTCGATATTGAGCTTGTTTGATTATCATTTTGTTAAAGTATATTACAGATAAAAGAATCGCTATCAATTTATCAATATCATATGATCGTTATAATTCGCGACAGTTTGATGTTGAAAAATCAAGGAATCATCGATTAAAACTCGTTATACAGAATAATTGCAGGGGTCCAAAATAAGAATCTAGAATTTTAGAGAATAACGTAATTTTATTTTACATACAAAGACATATCACATACAAGGGGAAAATGTGAGATCCTAGATATTCCTAAAGGTTAGAATTAGGCATCGTACAATCTATATCGCATTCTTTTATTGCACACGTATCCTGAATATACATGGCTCTTTCTTCCCCTTCTCTTTCCTTCTTTCTTTCTTTCTTTTCTCTCCTCTTTTATCGTCATATTGTGCACGCAATTCTATATTTGGCTTTTCTATTCTAAGCTCATACAACTTCTTTTTTAAATGACACAATCGTTGTTCCATTTGTTTTTCGTAATTTTATGGTATGTATATTATAATAGTTTTTGTTTAGTAAAAAAATGTCCGATATTATTATTATTATTATTATTAAATAACTTGCGAGGTTAATTAACGACTTGATTAACCTCGAAATTGGAATCTAAATTTACGTACCGTCGTCAAAATTCTTACGCATCGAATGTATATATCTCTCAAATAGCATATACAATGTTAACAATCATGAAGTGACATTGTAAGAAAACAACTGATATAGGCGATTAATCATTTTGAATGCATGAAAATTCGATTCGTGTAGATTCGTTGATATGTATCGTTTACTTTACGATCAAATAATGTGCTAATTTATGCACGAGATCGTGTAATGTAATGTTTTTAATGGAATTCTTTATGACGTAGCATAATTCATTAATCAGGCGGTACGGTATTGGAATTGAATTTTTTCGCACCATTACAACGTAATACATTGGTACGAAATGCTATCATCGATAAGGTTTCCTTAAAGTTCAATTTTTTTTCTCTTTAAACATCTTTATATGATCTACAAGGTGGTGGGGGTGCACTCCATATTCCATTTTCCCGACAAGTCGGCTTTCTTACAGGTTCCAAAGGCGTTACATATCCCGGAGAACAAGTTACCTAACAATATAATAATTAAGATAATTAATAAAACGAAACCTATGAAAATTGTTTATTTATATTTTCATTTTATAATTAATTTTCATGGATAAAAAAATCATATATTTATTATGACTAATAAAAATAAAACGGAAAGGAAAATAGGAATAGAATAAAAATAGAAAAAAAGGTTTCATTCTTCTTCATTTTTTTTTCTCTTACTTGTATGTTATCACCTGGTTTGTACCAAAATTTAAGAGGTGCAATACGTCCATGAGGCGGATCACCTGGATATGGACATCTTACTTTGCCTAATCATCAAAACGTTATTAATAATAGAAAAAAATAAATTCAAAAAAGTAATTCAAAATTATTACAAATAATATTGAAAACTTACAAACCGGAGACGGATGAGACCACGTTCCATTCTCTGTACATATTATAGAGGCCTCACCTAACAATTGATGACCAGGCAAGCAAACAAATCTGACGAGCGCTCCAACTTTGTACACACGCGTTTGATGCTGCTTCCTTCCTGAATTATGACGATTTGTTTGTTCCATAATACGCCCGCTCTTTGGTATCAATGGAATCGGACAAGTGATTTCTATAAATTAATTTCCACAAAATTCAAATAATTCTATCTAATGATTTTTACAGATAAAATCGATATCAAGTCTATGATTATCAATATACAAATTTCGATTCAATATCGATACATATCAAAATTTTATTCGATGTAATTTTTCGATATTAATATTATTTAATATCTTTCAAAGCGGTACTAAATTAATATCGAAAAACAATCCGATACCTCAACGAAACTATCGATACTCGTTTGATATTTTACAAGAATTTCGATATCTATTGAATATCTTACTTTTATTTTTAAATATTACAATCAAGTCTAAGTAATATGTTTATTTCGTTTCCTCTAATTTAATTATTTATTTTAATTATTTATTTATTTATTCTCGGATTTTGTCGAATTTTTTATTCAAATCAATACTTGATGGCAACGTTTAAAAATAAAAGTTATCGAATATTAAAGTCTTATAAAATATCAAACGGATATTGACATCTTCATAAAGTACAATTTTTCGATTTGATATGGTATTCATTTAAAAGATATCATTTTAAATATCAAAAAATAATATCAAGTACGTAAAGTACCCCTAACATAACCTACAATTTTAATATGTATCAATATCTTGAGTTAACATTATTGAATTGGCTTCGGTCATTAAATCGTTTGAATAACATCAATTTCGATTCGATCACTAATTTAACATATATGATTTTATGTATATGATAGAAAAAAAAAGTATAGAAAAAGAATTTATTAGACACACCTACGCAACTAGGCTTATCTCCGCTCCATGAACCATCCCCTTGACATTCTATGCTTTGTGGTCCTAATAATTTATGACCCCACATACAAGTAAATATTGCTCTATTACCGAAAGTATTATTGTATTCGAGAAGTTGTAGCCGCGTGTCATCGAGAGTTTCCATGGATGGACATGTAATTGTTATGCATTCCGGCATTTCTGCTGACCATTTACCTGAAAAAAATGATTTAATTAGTTCATTATTAAAAAAATTCCACATATATGAAACATACATATGAATTAATCGAAGTTTATTTATTATAAATTGTAACTAATTTAAATTTGTATTAAATAAAACGAGATATTATTAGAGTACAAAGTGGAACAAATATAATAGAAATTGTTTATAATTAAATAAAAAAATTTTAAACATTTTTGTACATTAATTTTTTTATTTGTTTCAATAGAATCGTATATACATACAACACATAAAAATTTTTCACTCTATAGTTTACATTTTTCTTTTTATCTTTAATTTGATCCACGTTATCACAATCTTAAAACTTACCATTATATTGGCATGTTATACCAGCCGCGCCTTTCAATTTAAATCCAGCAGGACACTCGAATGCTGCCCCATGACCCATTCGTGCACCTTCGATTTTACCAATTAACGGTTCGGGTAAATTCAAAACGGGACATTGGACATCTGTAACGTGTATTTTTTTTTTCTTTTTCATTTTCATTCGACGAATAGCTTTAGCTTATAAAAATAATTATTTTAATCGTTCGATAAAAGAAACAAAAATAAAAAGAAGAAAATTTGAACTTACCCACAACGTGGACCCGTATAGAATTGGATAATCCACGCGGTGTAGAACACGTGTACACTCCTGAATCTTGAGCTTTCGCGTAATATATCGACAAGCGATATTTCCAATCCCTTTCACGAGCAGCAATTGCCCATCCTGAATTGAATTTTTACAATGATTATAGAATATTTATATATTTTAAATTTATATATTTATATAATTATTAATATTATTAATTTATAATATTTAATAATATTATTTAATAAATATTAAAATATTTTAATATTTATATATTTTAAAATGAAAGAATTTGAATTTATTTGTTCATTTGGATTCTATTTCGAAATTGTATCATTTCGAATATAGAAATTGTGCATTCGTTTATAATTCTTAATTCTTATTATTTAATTTAATAATTAAGTAGTAATTAATTTAAGAGTTAAATAATTAATTAAAAGTAATTAATTAAATAACTACTATAATTCTTACTACTTCTTGCACTGTAGCATGCACTGATTTGCAATCTATAATTGGAAATAAAATGATCGAGGCTTACCGGTTAAATATTGACGAAACGTCGAGGTCCAAGTCCATTCGGGATTACCAAGTTTTCTAGCGAACAGACATTCCAGATGGAGGATGCTTCCAGGGAAAACGGCGAGTGCACCCGATGGTTCAACGGCAGCTGAACCAGCCGGTAATCCAAACACGATCGTTGGCGGTACATCCTCTGTTTCTCCTCGAACAATCAACGAGAGGAGAAATATTAAATGAAATGATATTTTAATTCTTTAGATATGAGAATAATTTGCAAGATTTTGAAGAGTTTGAAATTTGAATTTCGTAGTATTTTTGTATTTCGAACATTTTAATTAAGGTTAGGTTTATGGTAAATTTCTATCGTAATAGAAAATTACTTTCGCAATAGAAAAATTAATGTATTTTTTATAAAATTTAAAAAAAAAATTTTTCATTTAATATATATTATTAATATATATTAGGCTTAAAATTATGTATTGCGTTTTATATATTGCGTGTTTCATATAAAAACAAAACACACTATCAATATATTATATAATAATATAATATAATTATTTAGTGAGGGAAATATGATGAAGAAAAAATATGATAATTGATTTTTTCTGTAAGATATCTAATAAATTCGATCAAGAAAAGAACTTATAATAATATATAATATATTGTTCAAGAAATAGGAATTACATACGTTCATTTATTCACCTGTATAATTAGAAATCGCTGTGGTCGGAGTACAAGAGGGTAGTTTCCCGTTCCAACTTGCGTTACGACAGTGCAACAGAGAATCACCAATGAGCTTGTACTTGCCAAGTTCTCTACATCTTACTGTTACACGTTCTCCATGTGGTACAGTAATCTTGTCTACCTAGTTCAACAATCGTTCACACGATCATTCTTATTAAATCCTATCGTTTTATTATTTAAAATAAAAATAAAAAAAATGATAAATAATATTTAAAAAAAAATATGATAAATAAAAAAGTGATCGAGTTAAAGAGATAAAAGGAAACGATTAAAATAAAAATCTTGTTGAAAAGAACATTTTTGTAAATAAAATCAATATTCTAATGAAAATTTAATATAATATGGAAAACTTACGGATATTGTAATATTCTTGTATGTAACGATCAAAAGTGGATGTAATCCTTCAAGTTTGCAACCTCTTTGAAATCCATCGATATCTATATTCATCGAGAAAATTATTCTAATTAATTCTAATTAATTGGAATTATTTATTTTTATTTTTATCCAATAAAAAGAATTATTAATTGAATAATAATAATTATGTAGATAATTCTATGTACTTGCTATTTTTAACTTCTAATTAATAAAAAAAACAATATTAGATATTTTTATTATGGTCTGGATATATACATATATGTATATATATTTATTTCATATTTATATAAATATAATTTATATAGATCATATCTATATAAACACGAGGATACATGAATGAGTTTTGAAATTATTTTCATTATTAAAAGCACGTGTTCATTGATATGGTGTTTATTTTATGACGCATGCTCAGCATGGCTTTACTGGACGTTCAATAACAGAGCTAACCGCTTTCGAAAGTACCCAGACAACTTTATCGATCCGCCAATTTGGTTCACGCGAAAGCATTCGTTTGAATAATTTTTCAAGAATTTTATATTATTTTTTTGTTTGCACAATTCATCAAAATCACGATAAATATTCGTATTGACAACAAATTAAAAATAACAATAATATGTTGTATCAAATTTCGATACAATTTGAATAGTTCCACGATAAGGATCATCATGTTTTATTGATAATATTTTATTATCATTTTATTTAAATATACGACATACAAGTTAAACGTACATAGAATATTTATGATAATCAAATAATAAAAAGAAATTTTAAATTTCCCAAAATCCTAAATATTTTTTTATTCATTTTACATTATTTTCTGTGCACTATTTATAACACTACACTTACCTACTTGTTTCGCTTTACAAAAAGTGAGTATCGTTGTTAGGCCAAACAACAAAACATAAAATCCAGTAGTCAGTTTCATGCGATATGCACTTTCGAAGAATTTCCTTCTTCTTTCTTTCTCGATGGACATACTGTTTCTCTTTGCATATCAAAACGAAATATTATTCGAGTCACTACACTGAAACTTGGTTTTGATGGTAATTTCGTATCGAAAATGGCTGGAATTTTCGTACGATGGAAATTCGTTCTTCTTGTCTTTCGACATTTTGTTTCATAAGCATGATAATTTTGCGTTGTGCGTGTACAAATGCCGAGGATCCAACGTCACTGTAAAATGAAGAAAGAAATCAATCGAGACGCCCAGTGCATTCGTTTACGGTTAAACCGGTGTGAACGTATTTACGTGCGCTTGGAAGATCGATAAACTGACAATGAACGAAGGAGAAACGCGCGAATAATAATCTACGAAGAATGATTAGCGACAGAAGCAACGTCGCTACTAACTTCATCGCTAACGCTCGTAAACGATACGTACCACCACCTGCGGGGTGAGACGTTATAAAGTAACCAATGACTCTACCAAAAGCGCAGGCGTGTAACATGTTACATCATATTCGCGCATTTAAAATAATTAGAAAAATTTTCTAATTTTTTATTTTCAACATTTGCGACACAATATACTTTATACTTAATATATTTTAATATTTCTTTTTTTTTTATTTCTTATTACTATTGAAATTATAAATTCATTTTTGATATTATTATAATTATGAATCAATTAAGATAACATATAATTAATCAGTTCGTAGAAGATAAAGTTTTTTTTAAAACTTTCTTTGTTTTCTTAGAACTATTATAATCATGAAAAAATAATGGATACTATATATATTTTGCTTTATTTAATACGAACTTAAATTGTTTTTTACAATTAAAGAAGCAATAACTTTTGTGTTCGTATTGGCTTGTAAAAACCTTTCAAAGATATATGTAAAATGAATAAATTAAAAAAATAGTTGATATGTGACAATTGCATATTAAATAAGCGAAATTCAATGTAGTGATAATAATTTTTTTTTATAAATAACTCAAAAATTTAAAATCATGAAGAAAAAAATGAAGAATCTCCATTTCTAGATAATTATATGTTTAAAAACATAATAAAAAAATCTTAAATAAAGTACAATGTTAGAATTCTCTTTTTATACACTTCTCTATAATAAATAAATAAAAATTATATATAAAATATATAAATATAAGTTATTTCACAACATGTATTATTTTATAACATATAAAAATTGGATTGAAAATGATTAAGATTTTCAATTAATAGATTTAATAAGCAATAAAGTTAATCACATATTGTATTTTAAGCATAAATTTATCTTTTGTATAAATTTTGCAAAACTATTGACGAAAAAAGCAAATATTGATATAAATAGGATAAAAATTTGGAAATTAGCGCCATCTCTGAAGTGCCGTAAATGAAATAAATAGATAAGGAAAGCAAGCAATAAAAGAAAGATAGAGATAGAATAAAAGTAACTCTCAACGACATCTCTTGAGTATTAAAGGTATTATTCAAAGTAAAAAAAAAATTTTAATGCAAAAAGTATTCAAGAGATGGCGTTAATAGTCAATTTTTGCCTTATTTCTATCCTATTTGTTTCATCTAGAGATACTAGAGATGGCGCTAACTTTTCAATTTTTAACATATCCGTTTTTCTTTTATTCTTCTTATATTTCATTATTTGTTCTTTTTTTACAATATATATTGGAATATATTATAGATTACTAAGAAATATCTATTTTATTTTTCGTCCATGTTATTTTAATTATCGCTAGAGATAGACAGTTGTTAAAGAGTGACATAACAAACTAAACATAGTAAACTTTTTTAATTGCTGCTATAAACGTTTTCTTATGTAAAATAAAATTAAAATAATATATTATTTACATTAATAAAAATAATAGTTTTGCAAGATATATATATATATAAATACATATATTTATTATCTACAACATTTCAGAATATAGAAATAATATATTTCAAAATTATTCGTTTAAAATTTTTGCTTGACTTTTAACTTTTAACAAAAAACTTCTGTCTATATATTAATTCTAATAACTTCAACATAGAAAAATTTTATTAACATACATATATTATCTTCGATATGATACATATAAGATTTATTATGATATTATTGTGTTCTAAAATTTAAAACAAAGAGAAAGTTAAATCGTATCATATCATACATATTTTTTACTGTAGCTCTTATTTTCATTTTGCAAAATGATAGATATTAATTTAAAGATCTAAAGATTAAAATTTTACAAATAAAAAAAAGATTATATTAAAAAAAAAAAGAAAATTATACTAATAAATCATATAATACTATTTATGGTACAAATATAAGACAAATCAAATGATACAATCATTTCACAAACAAAATGCACATAGCTTTATCTTAAAGAACTTAATGCTTAATGTTTTTAATCAATGTGTTTCTGATTTTTTATTTCAAAATGATTCTATCATTATAGTACATTAATACTTAGTAATTTTCATTATTTTCAACCACTAACTAGATTGAAAATTTCACCTATTTCGAATTCAAAGAATATTTTTAAACAATTTAAATAATCTCAAATAATTTGAATTATAGATTCAAATTTCCACATCCATACAATATAATTTAATAATACCTTTGAACATCAAAACTGAATTAATTATAACGAGATCCATCATTTTTCCACCATATGAAATAAATATGCCCCTTCAATACCATTCATAATTACTATTGTACAATTAATTTTAATACATTTATTAATATCAATATGTCAACCTCAATATATTAATTTTATTTAATCTCCATTCTAACTCGATTGGACATTCCAATGAATCTCTGATACCTATACACAAATATATAAATTTTCCGAATGTATCCAACAATGTATTCCATCCATGTCGAGTTTTGTTATTCCGATCTAGCAGTCTACGTAAGCTTTGCCAGGAGAAATCGTGAAAAGGAATGATCTGCTTTTCTCGCAGAGTTCATTAGCGCTATAAATTAGTGTCTATACTTCAACGAGTGCAACGTAACCAGTATTTTCAACGGGCAAAACGAATCGATGAGTTCAATGAGTTCGATGAGCATTCATGATGCGTCTGTACGCGTACAAAAGGAATGTGACCCTTCTACAGCGTCGGTAATTCATTGTTCACAACCCATGTGGGTGTGGTTTAATTCGTCCGTTTCAATCCAATTTTATTTTATGTAAAAAATTAATAATCTTAATTTAATTTATTAATCAATTATATATATATAATAAATATTATTAATAATAATAAATACTATAACAAATATATAAATATAAATTTTGTAGTATATTAAAATTATAAAAAATATTCCATATTTTATAGTGATTAACGATTAAAATACTATTAATTAGTATTTTATGGTGTTTTTTTTATGTGTAATGATTATAATACAGTAAGAGTAATACAATAGTAAAAACATATTTTTCTATGAAAAAAAAAAAAAATTAATTTGCTTTTCGTTATTTTTCGTTCTAATCTAATAATCAATTTGTTAACAAGCATAAATAATGTTCTTCTAATTAGCATTTAATCGAAACTTGATCCTTTAATCAAGTGCAATTTATAATTATATATCATAAAAACATGCGATTCATTCCAATTGCTTTATGTTCTACATAATATCAAGATTCTTTCCAACAGAGTTAATAAGCTTATCATTTAACTTTCTGCTTTTACCCCTGTAAAATTCGTTTCAGACTTTCTCTCCTTCTGTTTATATATATATATAATAAATATTATTATTAATAATAAATAATAATAATAAATACTATAACAAGTATATATACATATAAATACATTTTGTGGTATATTAAAATTATAAAAAATATTCCATATTTTATAGCGTTTAACGATTAGTGTTAAACTATTAATTAATATTTTATGGTGTTTATCGTAATATAAGAGTTTCTCTCCTTCTGCCTTCATTTTTCTCTTCCTCACTTCGTTTTTGACCGATCGCTTGTGGACATTTAACATGCCACGATACTCGTAGATAAAGCACGCAAGGGCTGGAGGGGTGCATTCGTCCCTGCCTCGTATTTCTATAAGGTCCTGTTTTATCTCTCTCGAATTCCTGAACGCCAACTCATCGTGACTTATTGCGTTGTTCATGTCACGTCAAGAGGCACGTCCACGCATTGATTTGTGTGAATCAAGAAATCGAGGCGCGTATTCGTATGCATGTAAATGAAATTTCTTGCCACCTCTTTAATCTATAATGAACTATTTTTTTTTTTTATTATATCATAAAATTAGATAATACTACTATAAAAATAGTAGTCGGTATATCGATTTAAACGGATTTGTTACAAAGTGTACATAAAATTATTCTTATAGTGTTTTAACATTATTATTAATTACCATTATAATTCTTATTATAGTGTTATAATATTCAATTGGAATATTCATATTTAAATTGTTAAATGATTTTTGAAACGGTATTTTATAAGCAAATCAGTTTGATGTATGAGATGGTACTAATTAAGAACCGTTATTCTAAGTTGCTAAACTAGATTGCTAATCCTAAGTCTTGCATCCGCTAATTTTCACGTCGGAAGTAAAGTTTACATAAGATATCGAGCATTTAATCGAGAAATGAAGGATTAAAACGAATAATGAATATTTGTTAAAAAAAAAAATTGTGCGAGATCGACACTAGTTCTCAAGGAAATAATATATTCGACCTTCACAGTTGTACATATTCCTGTTTTTTCTTTTTTTTTTTTTTCCTCTTTTAAAATCATACGCGTCAAGAATAGTAATCAATTAAAATAGAACTTTGTCCTTAGCATCATCGATGATGCCTCTCTGATTCGATTTTATTTATATTGTTTATAGAAATATCCTGCCGTCTTCGACGATCTCCATTTTCCAATTCGAATTTATAACTAATTCCCTCGATCGTTCGTTTCTTCACAGCGCAAAATAATTTTCTTTTTATTCTAAATCTATTGATTTTTCAAGAGAAAAAAAATTCTCTTCTTTTCTTTTTAAGAAGAATCTTTCTATCTCCCCCAAGAAAATCTTTCTATCTCCCCCTTCCTTCAGAATCCTTCAGAATCTTCAATTTTGATTATTTCAGAAAGATATTCAAGAAAGATTTTTTCACTTTCCTCCTCCTAATATTCAATCTTGCCTTCTTTCCTTCAGAATCTTCAATTTTGATTATTTTAGAAAGATATTTTAGAAAGATATTCAAGAAAGATTTTTTCACTTTCTTCCTCCTAATATTCACTTCAATCTTCCTTCCTTCAGAATTATTTCAGAAAAATATTCAAGAAAAATTTTTTTACTTTCCTCCTCCTAATATTCAATCTTGCCTTCCTTCCTTCAGAATTTTTCAGAATCTTCAATTTTGATTATTTTAGAAAGATATTCAAGAAAGATTTTTTCACTTTCCTCCTCCTAATATTCAATCTTGTTTTCCTTCCTTCAGAATCTTCAATTTTGATTATTTCAGAAAGATATTCAAGAAAGATTTTTTCACTTTCCTCCTCCTAATATTCAATCTTGCCTTCTTTCCTTCAGAATTCTTCAGAATCTTCAATTTTGATTATTTCAAAAAGATATTCAAGAAAGATTTTTTTACTTTCCTCCTCCTAATATCCACTTCAATCTTGTCTTCCTTCTTTCCTTCAGAATTCTTCAGAATCTTCAATTTTGATTATATCAGAAAAATATTCAAGAAAGATTTTTTCACTTTCCTCCTCCTAATATTCAATCTTGCCTTCCTTCCTTCAGAATTCTTCAGAATCTTCAATTTTGATTATTTCAGAAAGATATTCAAGAAAGATTTTTTCCTCCTCCTAATATTCCTTCCTCCTAATATTCAATCTTGCCTTCCTTCCTTCAGAATTCTTCAGAATCTTCAATTTTGATTATTTCAGAAAGATATTCAAAAAACAGGACTCAACTCTTACATTAAACATTACATTTCGATTTCCTTACCCCTCCCTTTGTACCAAATTCGAATAGAGCGCGAATCCTCGAATGATCAAAGGATTGGCAGCTAACGACTACGAAAGAGCGCGTTATCTCCTCTGGAAATGGAATTTCTGTCGCGATCGGCGTGTTTCTTTTGCGCCTCTCGACTTAGACGATTTCGAGAGACCGGTTTCCGTCCTCAGGTATTCGTGAACCTGGCGGCGTCGTTTTCCCCCCCTCTCTCTCTCTCTCTCTTTCTCTCGGGTGCTCTGGACAAAGATGAACGTCGTAAATAAAATAGGGGAGACAGAGGAAATACGATTACGCATGCGTGTTCCATATGAAAGAATCATAATTTATATCGAACCGGTCGTAGGTGGCGTGTCTCATTAAGGAGGAGGGAATGATCGTGGATGAATGAACGGCCGTCATGTGGGTGGCTGTGATTGCGGGCCGACAATGTCCGGACACGAAAGTGAAATGTTCCACTTGCCGCTCCATGATTACAAATTCCTTTTTGATCTGAAAAATTTAGAATTTAAATTAGAGAAATTAGAATTTGTAGAAATGTAATGGGAAATGTGTATGTGTGTGTGTTTTTTTTTATTATTATTATCAAATTTGGAAAAAATAAATGGTGATAATGGAACGGGGATATGAATATTGAATGAAATATTTTGTTATATATATTCATTTACTCAAACTTTTTGCTATATATAGGTATAGATAAAATGGTTTTGCAATAAGTTTCTCTTTGTGTTTGAGTTTACTTTTTTTTGTATGTTACATGCAATAAAAAGAAATGTTTAATTTAAGAAATTTTTAAAAAATTTATATGATGTATATTGAAGTATTAAAATATGTTTATGGTTTCTTATTAAATTTATGAAAAATTTATCATTTATATTTCTATTCAGATCAATACAATATACATGAAAGGAATATTTCTAAATTAGAAAAAAAATCAAATATTAAAAACAATTTTCATACATAATTTGAATAAAAATACTTGTACATTTGCAATATAAAGAATTTATTCGTTAAGCATCTTAATCTCATTTCATGCAATCAAACATTAGAGAAATGACGCAAATAAAATAACTACAATTATATAACGTTTAAGTATTGGTAAAAACTTATGTGCAAATTCTACGTAATCGTGCATTTTTACAAATAATAATAATAATCTAATTTTATGTTTTAATTGTCATAACAAAAGATTGTATTAACATTTGCTAGATAAACTCTGATTTATAATTGCTTATCTTTTTCTTAAATACTTTATACCTATGAAGAAAATTTTCAAAACTAATTTGAATTAATTAGAACTGCTTAAACTAGTTCAGGAACAATTAGAAATTAGTTTGAGTAGATGATTTATAGAACAAATTTTTATACTTAATCAGATGATTGATTATAATCAAAATTTCTATGATCAGTGACTAAGATGAAAGAATGAAAATGAAAATTGTCGATAAAAGTAGAGACTTTAACTTTTGTTGATAGTATAAGGCTTGGTATTGTGAAAAATTGTGAAAAATTTGTTTGATTATTGAAATATCTGCGAATAATTGGAGACATGTAATCATAACTAATTGTGAATCAATCGATTCAGTATGACATACTATCATTTATAAAATTAAAATTATTCTACTCAAAATTTAGAAAATTTTCATTATGTGTATACTATGAAATATGAGACTTAATAAAAAAAAAGTAAAAATAATTAACAATGTTTAAATAGATTTGTTATAGAATTGTAATTATTATAATTGGATTTGTTATTCATAGATCTTGTTATAAAAAAAGTAAAACCTGCTTCTCAAGATTTATTATATGAATATTTAATCATGTTGCCGGCCTTCGATTTTATTGTGCCATCAATTTAGAATTTTACACGACTGTTTTTGTATTTTTTTTTTTTTTTTTTTGAACCAAATAAGTCTGAGGTAATCATTCAAAACGATCACTGTTTCAACAGGGAAAAAGAAAAAAAAAAGAAAAAAAAAAATAATGGAAATAGAAAGAAAAGAGTGTAATAAGCCTGCAAGAAATTGTTCAAGGTAAACGTCAATTGGTAAGCACGACCGATTCCCCTCCTTCTTTTACCCTTTTCCACGGCTATGACAACTTCCTTCATCAAACCTCCTTCTGGAACATCGTAGATGATGTGAAAGTGAGGGGGCCAGTGGTGCTCAAATACCTAAAAAAAAAAAAAAAATACTTCGATCTTAGGATGAAAATATCCAATTTTGAAAGTAGAAAAAAATTTCTTCTACTTGAAAATGAATATTCATGAATGAATATTAAATATCGTAAATAAATATGTAATGAAAATTAGATAGTTAAGTTAAATTAAAAAAAAAAAAAAAAAACACGATCAAAAAAGGATTTGATATTCTTAAAATTTTTTAAAATTACTTTATATAATATCTAAATATATTTTTATGACTTTCAAACATCGATCTAATAATAAACAAATTAATATCTATTAATCTAAGATGATCACGAACAAGGAATAATAATAATAAAAAAAAAAAAAAATGAAACAAGAAAAAGATTCTTAATTAAATCGGCTATTTACTTGTGTTGTGTGGATGCGAATTTATCGCATATTAAATCACACGAAACGCGGGATGTTTTGTTAATATTTCACGGCAAATATATCGTCACCTGCTTCTTGATTCGTTCGGTTGAAGCCCGCTGACACCTGGTGTTCCTCGAGTTTGGTGAACACTTTGGTGGGGTCTGGGGAGTTCGAGACGCGTGAAACCCAGAGAGACTTCAGTTGTCACTGCGACACCAGTGGAATAACATTGTGTTGTGCAACATTCCAGTAATTAGATTTAAAAATTCTTCAATTATTCATTTGCCTTAACTGATCTTGATTCTTAAGTTTCTGAAAAAAAAAAAAAAAAAAAATATTATTTTGAGCAATTTTTCCGCTATTACTATTATAATATTCAACAAGTGTTTTCTCTATCCACGTGCTTTCGTGCGATTATTTAAATAGATTTTGATTTAATAAAATAACTCGTCACTTTTGATCAAATTTTCTAAAGAGGAAATAATTTAATTAACATTAAAATTTTATTTTGTTTATTTCGTTTATTTAAAAGTTCATTTTTAATTTAATCTAATTCTTTTTTTCTGTATGATATTTGATCAATAGTGAAGAGTAAGGGTGAAAAAAAATTAGCCAGTGTTTTCTAAAATTATATAAAGAAGTGTAAATTCCAATTGAAATTGTACGAATCGCTTGATAAATCTCTCGAGGATCGATGATCTTTGGAAAAATCAATCAATGGGGGATATAATTCTTCAATAGTATTAGGTATTTATACTTACGATATTTCATCTTTTGTCTGACAATGTTCGTTAATTCTCGAAATTGGGTAAATTGAAATCGATCACACAATTGTGGACAATTTATTGGAGTGGAAAAATAGCGCGAATTCATATGATTAAGTCAACAGTTGTACAAGTATCATAAATGAGAAAAAACATTTGTTTTGTCTGATAAACGCGACATAGCGAGCGTTTATTAAAAATACAAGTTTCCATTTCGAAATATAACCTTCTAATAGAAAATTCATTTAACTTATTAAAGATCTAGCATATAAATGTTATTAATTAAAATTAAACAGAACAGTGTATTAGAATAATAGTTTATTTTACAAACTTAAGTAATAATTTGCTAATTAAGGAGAAAAAAATTTCTTCTAATTTAAAACTAATAAAATGAAATATTTGAGCTTGTTAAAGTTTACATCAAATTGTAAAATATTGATAGAGGATAACGATAAAAGAAACAATTAGAAAATTCTTAGAATTCTCTTTTATAATCTTTTTATAAATATAATAAATTAATATAATTAATAATTAAAAACATAATTGGCTGAAAATAAATTGCAGATAAAATGTTACGTCAATAATCATATTTTTTTCTTTTCCAAAAAAAAAAAATGACATTTTTCTTGGAATTTAATTATCCTTATTTTTAAAAATAAACTCATTTTAAATAAATAATAATAAGAAATAATATTAAAAAACATCCCATTAGAAGTAATAATAAATGTATAACAGATGATAATAAAGATTTAAATTTCCATTTAGAACGATACAAATGGGCGATCCGTGGCCAAGATACGAAATATTACGCTTTTCATTACGCGCATCGTGCGCATTCAAAGACGGTGGCATCCTTCCGGCGATATTGCCTCTTTTAAAGTTCATTTCGTATGAAAGAAGGCGAACAATAGCGGTGCAAAACGTCGCGATATCGCACTTTCAGGCCTTGATAACAGTCGCACGTTCATGAACCCTGGGAACGTTCGCTTTGTAAATGGAGAATTTAATTAGAAGAACAACATTAAGTTCGCACGTGCTCAACATTTCTCGCGTAAACGTAGCGAATTAACCGCCACGAAGTGTCTGGAATGCGTTAAATTATTTGCCAACGTTTCGAATTATTTCCTCGTAACGTTTATATCCGTGTCGTTTTTTTAACCCAATCGATTTTGCGATCGATAACGATAATGACTATGATTAAGATATTATGATAGTTTTAGCTCGATTATTGGGTTATTACTTTTTTGACCCATATCAATAAAAAAAGAATAGCAGAGTTTTTAATCCCATTGATTTAGAGGTATCACTTTACGTAAGTGAAGTCGCTAAGATCTGATATAAAACGAGCATGCTTGTGCAGATTTACGTTTTTAATGACGTAATGCACACGTTTCACGTGCCGCGAAAATGCCGAATTGTGAATCTGAGCAACGATACTCTGCTCGCTGTATATCTAACTCAACATCGTTTTTCTTTATTTCATTATTTGTCGAACTGTAACTGCTTGTATTTATTGTTAATTGGGCATGGAATAATGTAAATTTGTATATTATTATGCACACGAGAAACTTTTTTCTTTGAGCTATCTATATATCTATGTTATATATATATATATATATATATATATATATATTGCAATTATATGGTCTGTCTTTTTTTTTTCAAGTAAAAAAAATAAGGAAAAACAGCAATTGCTCGTGTGCTTTGATCCATTGATTACGGCAATATATATTTTACGGTTTATATATTTTAATTTAAAGTGAAATACTGTAGGAGTATTAATTATTATGTACGATCAATTTTTGAATTTTTACGAGCGCTAAAATGTTCGATATAATCTTAATTATATTCTTTGAGAATTCTTTGAATTAATTAGTACATCGTTTAATTTTAAATTTCTTTTCCGCAAATTCTGATATTCTACTGATATTTATAGCATTATTTGATACATTTTGCTCGGAAATGCTTTACTTTTAAAATTAAAAGTTTAATTTTTAAAGCTTCAAATCAATTAGTTATATTACAACGTCTATTTGGTATAACAGGATCCACATTGCAGAGATTAACTTGTCCTACTTGTTTGATATAACATCTCATATGATCGTGATTCACGAATATTTCAGTTCATTTCCTGAATCGAACGTGTTTCTCATTGGAGCATGTGCAAACGTATTTACGTAACAATAAATTCAAAATAATATAAGATCGTATAGAAAAATGTTTTTTGATAATTGTAATTAATTAAAGCACGACTATTACTATCTAAATAAATTTCGTGCAATATTTACCGTTCCAAAAAATATTTTGTTTCAGTTGGTATCATTTTGACGTGAACGAATCAAGTCAACTTTTTCTCGATATATAAATAATTTTACTGTTCTTGTTTCCTTTTTTTTTTTTTTTCTTATACTGAGTTAAATAATAGATGTAGTATAAGCAATTTTATTTAAAAAAATATTTTAAGTGGCAACTAAATAAATATCTTACAAATATAATTATCAATTTTTCCGTGGTAAGCAATTACGTAATTGTATGAATTTTCTATACTCCTCATAGTTGGCAACACTATATGTATTTTGGTAGTCATACCTATAGCATCACGTAACATACAAATAGAATGTGATAGATTTATCTCATTTCTTATAATTAAGCACGCTTAATAATTAAGCATATTAAAAACATATTGAAAAAAAAACTTACGAATTTTATGATTAACGATTATATTAAAAATACTATTATTATCTAATCGGATAAAACATGCAGGAAATAACTGGAAATAAGCGATAGTGGTTCCGTTTTAGTTTAGCCTCATTACAAAGGTAATGAATTGTTTTGAGGTTAGTTAATTATTACGGCGTTTGCATATCAATTATTCACAATTATTTCTCTCAACACGTTCGAAAAAAGAAAATGTTTTATGTTATTAACCATTGCAGAAACTTCTGGAATACATGATATTACATATAGAATTAAATGCAAATCTATTCTGTAAATTCATGCAATTTTAACGTTACGAAACGTTAATACATATATTTCTACATATTTTAAATTAACGTATATGCATTTATGTATATATACAATTAGATCGAAGAAATAATAATCACGTAATTAAGTATGATAATCATGAAATTTTTTTAGGTAAATCTTCTTGAATTCAATAAACTTGTAGTCACGGTGACGTGGCTGTGAGCGCCGCATAAAGGGGCTTAATGGAGAAATGACTTATTTCCAGCCGTAACCCGAACACCAACCCCGGTATAGGTAGGTCACATCATTGTACAGAGTCTCAACACGCCACGGTTTTATTGCGTTGCGTACCATGTTGCGCAACGCCAGTCGGTATTAACTTTGGATCTAGTATCGTGAAAGTAAAGCCCCACTCACAGGCGGCGAATACGAAGAAGAGACGAAGGAAAACCGAATTATGTATTGCTTTCACGAAGAAAAATTTGACGTAATGTAATTGTCAGAAAATAACAACTTAATTTTAAATTATTATATAAATCTTAAAGTACATAATTAGAATATTTACTTAAATATCTAAAATAATAATTTATAACATCTTAATTTGAATCTCATGTATATTAGGAAATGCAATTTAATAGGTTATGATATGTGGAATATATATGGACGAGTATTTAATTGAGTGAACTTCTTGTTTGAACTTCCCGAGGTTATAAAATCAACGATGAACGATATTCGTAGTTCTCATGGGAAAAAGTGACCTTTTTTTTTTTTAAACGAGTTTGAAGGGACTATCTATAAAGGGAGCGTGTATTTATGTAGTTTCTTCCAAGAAAATATTTCCCGCGCAACGAGGCGTGACGTTTCATTATATTGTAATTTCTAGTGATTCATGATTCTTACAAAGTTATCTGATTTCGTTAAACTTAACTTGTGAGAAATAATGTTTTTAAATAAAATATATCTATTGCGCTCTACATATTTTTTTAAAAATATTTATAATAATTATTACATTACAAGTTTAATTTAAGTTTAAGTACTAGTTTTGTTAAAATATTCGTAATAATTAACCAAGTATCTACAATTAATTAATTAGAATTTAATAAAATTATTTTCAAAATCCGTGATTTCATAGAATCGAGTTAAATTCCCCTCATTATGTTTTCAAAGCTTAATCAATTCCAATGATGTTCAAATAAACAAATACGATACATTAAAAATTAAACGTGCAATGCTTTTCTCAAATAATTGATACAAATCGATAGAATTGGAAAAGGATACAGTTATTCCCATGTTGACGATTTCTCTCCATTTTTCAGACGTTTATGGGGTGATGGATAGCAGGCGCACGTGACTGGTCACGTGGATAGAAGTGATCAGAGAAATCGAGGAACGCTGATCGTGAACGATTCTCTGCCAGTTTTCCTTTACTTATGTGGAAGAAGAATTTGATGCGTGACTTATGTCGCATCAAAGGAGATTAAGAGAAGTTTCTGTTTGATTTATCACACAGAACGGATTAACCGTTGTGATTCATATAACAATCGAATAAGGACGCACGTGTTTTTCCAAGAAGTTGAAGATTTATGATTTTGAAGACCGAAGTAATATAATTTTTTTCTCGTCATGAGGAAAAGTTTTGTTACGAGTTGACAAAAACGTTTAGGTATAAATGTTGAAATATTTTGTTCACTTCAAGATTATAAATATTCCTATGTATTTTTTTTAGTGAAAGTTTTAAATTCATTTTAAATTATAATTTTTTAATGTCCTGATGATGAATTAATTGATAAATTTGCACCTAACGTAAAAAATATAAAGATATTCTTTATAAAATATAAAAAAATCTTTATATTTTTTTATGATTTCAGAGCTATCGAAAGTTCTAAGAAAAGGAAGCACAGGATGTCTGACGAGATGCGCGCGCAGCCCTTAGACACGATATACGGTGGTAATATAATGCAACCTGACGAGGAGATTCAGTACGCGCCAAGAAGCCGTCCTGTTAGCTTTTATGATAACTTTAAGGTGAACCATCGTGCTGTGTCACGTGTCATTGTTTACGTTCGTATCTTATCAGTTAGAAATTCATTACATATACAAGAACGATAATATACGTATTAGGTATGATCACATAAAAGGATATTTAAATCAAAATTTTTATACTAATTCGTAATTCATTTTTAATCAACGATATTTCTTCAACAAATTTTTGAAAATTTTCGTTAAATTATATAGAAAGATACTTGTTTAATATTCTTATTTTCATACTATGTAATTGTGAATCATTATTTATCAATTAAGTAATTAATTCTTGTCAAGGCTTGTTGTAACGGTTTATCGGTAGTCTGACCACGAATTTAGTTAAGCGAAAAACGAGAGTGAGACAAACCGCAACGCACGATGTGTGAGAATTAGTAGCACGTGTATAAGAGGTGCGGTTGGTCATTGATGGTTCGTTATTACTGAATGTGCATAATCGATAATGTCGTAATTATATTGGAATTTTACATGAAATGGAATAGAAATACAAAATTCGTCGTCGCAATTGATCGATAAAACATTTAAATTGAACTTTAAAATCAATTCATCTTAAAATAATAATTTCATGAATTTAATAATATATTTTTAATAAGAAAGTTATATATATTATTATTGTTATTAAACTATTTATGTCGTTAAAATTAAATTAATTATTATATATATAATTTTATATATATAATAAAATGTAATTTCTATATTTTTTTCATTGTTTAGGACGTGCCAATGGTGACACCTTGCGTGACTTCCGCACTAAGTGCTGATAATTTAAATCAAATTCGCGATAATGGTATTAATTCGTCGATGGCCACAACCAATAACAATAACAATAATCGTGTGAATAGTGCAGTGAGTGCTGGTAACGTGACAAAGATCCAAAATCCCAAAGTCACAGGTGAATTAATCAATTAATCAATTTTTTTATGAAAATAATTACTAATTATTAATTTATAATATAACAGAATGAAAGAAAATTATACGAAATATATATATATATATATAAAAATATAGAAACATAGTATAATATTTTTATTTTTTCTTTCATTTTATATTATTAATTAAGTCAATTAGTATTAATCAGTATCTACTGCTAGACAAAATTGGATAGCGCACTGTCCTAGGAAAGTTTATTCGACTGCAAATAGAACGGTCACGAGTGAAATTCGGTCGACACTTTAGTGTTAGAGATATTCAAGTAAACTTTCTCGAATTTCATTTTGTTCGTGCACCATCACGGTAAAACAAAGCAGCATTGGAAATTTTGTGCGCTTTCTAGTCAGTCATACGTACCATCTTGATAACGAATGCAAGGCTAAAGTGAAACTTTAAAAAATTTTTTTAATTTCATTTCAATTCGAAATAATAACATTAATCAGTCGATATCTAAAATACACATCTCAAATTTCTAGTATGTAATTTTGAAAATTATTTTTTTTTTTTTTCAAATCCCATTTATGACAATTTTATTTTCATTTGAAAGGTTTACCTTCAATTTTGTAATATTGATTGTCGATTTGTCACGACAGGTGCAGTGTCAACAGGGAACATAGGGAAAATTTGTCGACTTGAGAAGGAGAAGGAGTTAGGTCGGGCCCCATCAATGGCCAATTGTTTGTCAACCACGGTTCCCGTTAATCTGGCGGCGTCTCAAATTGCTGGCCGTCACACGCCCACGAGGAATTCCCTTAGGCACAGCAGGATGATCGTACTCCATCGAAGCGGCCATCGTGAGTACATGATCACTTTCCTTGGCTCATAAATCTTGCATTCTTAATTTATTTCACGAAGACTGATCTGCTTTCTTGTTTCTCATAAATAACATAGATAACGTTTATGAATAAATATACCTTGTTAATACCTAAAAAAAAAAAAAAAAAAAACAAAATTATCTTGAAGAATAATTGCTCTTATCTCTTATTATCATTTTACAATTTTGCTATTATTATTTTTTATTAAAAAAATAATATTTAGTTCGAATGAAGTTAATAAATAATGTCATAACAAATGTTCACTTTTAGTTTATTTTTTCAAAAAGTGATTAAAAAAACTTACAGTGAACTTTATTATTATTTTTCATTATTATTTCTATTATATATTGTATGATATCTCATTATTATTAATGTATAGATCATTGCTTAATGTATAGATCATTGCTCTTTCTCAATAATTTTATAAAAGATTCGAAAATATTTAAATCCATTTTTATTTTATATAGGAATATTTTAAATTGAATCTTTAGAAATAGAAGATGATTACAGATTGTTTGAAGTTATTCCTCGAAACTTCTGTTCAATAACTATTCTCGGAATCTATATATCGTTATATCATGTTATATAACAAGCAAAATATTCCTATAAAAATTGTTATATAAAAATTTCTCTTTCGCTCTTTTTAATTGCGTTAGATTATAGGCACTTACTTTTGCAATATTTTTTAACGAAAAAAAAATCCTTTTTATTAACTCGAATATTTAATAACGACTTCGCAATTTTTTTGTTTCCATCTTGAATAACTCAGACGCAACGCTTGTTGATTAACGAAATTAGAGATCGGAACAAGTATAATACACGTGAACGAGGCTCGAATATCACCAAGCGGCCTTTCACGGTGTAATAAACATTCTTTCAAACACGAGAAAAGTACAATGTTGCTGTGAACGATTATTAATTTATATTACGATTCACATTAAATCTTCTCTTTTATGAAATTCAACACGAATAGGTTTCAAATTTAAATTCGTTTGCTCTTTCCAACTCCGAAATTATAATGAAATATTCAATTTTTATCTCACTGTATTTACACTGTAGTTATCTTTATCGATACTTTTTTCTCCAGTTTAATACATAAAATCTTAAATATCTTTCCTGTCTAATCTATTTTCAGTCTGAAAAAGATTAAATCGAAGATGCATCTGTGAAGATTGTCCAATCAAGTCATTGAAAAATATAAACTTGTTCAGGACAAGTCGATCTTTCTTGAAATTTTTTCACCCATGATGATGGGGCTAGTTTGCTTGTGACTTAGACTTTCCTGTACTTGTAATGTTGAAGTCATAAATAAACCAATGGTATTGAGATTTCTGCCAAGATAGTCAGGAAAATTATAATAAAATATTAAAAAAGACTTTGAAATTTCCTCAATTCATTTCACAGAAAAAATATTCACATTTTTTAAATTACATATTACAAATTCAATATGTTAAGTTTTACTGTGAAAAATTTTAACTTTCATATTTTCTTGCATTTTTTAAAGATTATGTTTCGTTTTTTTTGAAATAAAAAATTTAGCAATTCCTTCGTCGTTAAATAACTTTATTTTTTTTAAAAATTATTAGCTACTTTTTTGAAATTATTAAAAGCAAGTAAAACGAAAAGAGGTCCACCGATTATCGTGGTTTTAAAGTGGTTACACATGCTACTCCGTGAATAGCGGAAGTAGCAAGCCGGAAATGTATCATGTGATCTTTTTTAGAGTATACTCGTTCACGGGTTGGCGTGCACGAACTTTAGGTGTAATTCTAATCATTTTTTCCGTTTTATTCACCTTGCTCATGCTATATCGATGCACGTATTATAAATTTATAAAAAGAACACTGAAGATTTCTTCATACTTCAACTTTTTCAATTCAATTTCAATTAGCCAATTCAAGGCTTATATAACTTGAAACACATGATAATCACTTTCGAACAAAATAAATTTCGATATTATATTAATTTCAAAAATTTCATTTTAGTTTATTCGAAAAAAAAAAAATGTTTGTCTAATATACTTTGTGCAAAATATTTTTAGAAAAATTTTGATAAAAATTATTATTGTTGCACAAAATATTTTTATGATTTTTAGGAGAAAAAATTTGTTTCTTACGTTTTTTTTTTTTCTTTGAAATGTTATATAAATAGCATGTATGCTTCGTGAGAGTTTAAACGTTGAATTGAAATGTGAGAATTTAGTTTTCTTCCATATGGTAAAGCTTGGATTTGCTTCATCCCCATCATCGTCGAATTCTATTTTCAGATGCAATAGATAGACGGTTCTAAAAAAAAAAAAGAAACAAAGTAAGCAAAACCAAAGATACAAGACATCGATATCAATTTTAGTGAGAAAAAAATTTCAAAGAGGATAAATATAATAAATTATATTTTAATAATTCGTTATTTATAAGAAAATGTTGACCGCACTGAATTCATTATGTTCTCTTATCAGTGTAGTTGAGACAATAGAGCATCAAATGAGTCACGAGACTTGACGATGGATAGGTTAGTTATCAAAAACATTGATATCTGAATGGTTAATGTACATACTGCAGTGTACTGTGCAATTTTGTATATTACTATTTATCAAAATTAGAAAATATTAACGAAAATAGAGTGTTAATATATTCATGAAACTTTTCAGAAGCTAAAACAATGTGACAATACAAAGATATTGAGCTTTTTTACTAAATTTACTAAATTACGAGCAATTTAAGTTTGCTTTAGATAAAGCGAGACGAAGAGAGAATAGAATCTAGCTCACTCTCCATTTTATTTTATCTAATGCGAATTTCAATTGCTTATAAGTCATAAATATATATATAACAAAATCGACATATTTATATTTGCTTTGGCTTCTATCAAAGATGTTTCACGAAACATATATATTAACGTCTTGTATATTATATTAATAGCAAATAGATTCAAAGAAATGTGATTTACACATCGTTATGTACATATACAAATTTTCACAATTGAAACTTGTATTACGTGATTTGTTGCATAAAAGATCAGGGAATCTGTCGCGGTTAGGGTGAACATACGGAATCCGCGTACAGTGACATCTAAGGTGATGAAAAATTGTCAAGGGATCGGAAGTATCGTGGGCGGTAGTGGTAGCTCTCCACAATGCAGTTACACAATTACCATGTTTCTTCTTACGCAAGTCGAACACTCCATCATTATCTATGTATCGAGGTCGTTGTGTAATAAAAACGTAGCACGTGATAATTTAAGGCAGTTTAGAACAAATTCTTCGATGCATAATTTTTACACATTTCTTCAAATCTATTTCAAAATCGAAGGTAGACGGGCACGTAGTTCGTTTCGTTTCAATGATGATGAAGTTTGCACGTGCAACATGTTAATTGAGATTTTAAAAAAAGTTCACCTAAAGTTTACACTGTTTGTTTATTTCTAAATGCAATAAAGAAAATTTTATTACAGTAACGATATTTACAAACGATATTTTTATTCAATCCTTTAAGCTCTACCTGCAATACAGTCTCTCTTCTCTTATAATGAGCACAACATACATGTGTACACGTATACATAAAATCGGTGTACAATGGGAACGACACGCATTCGAGCACCGCATTCTTGCATCGTATGAATCATTCCGCGAATAAAAAGACGATACTATTGCTTGCATCCGGCACAAATTGTTTTTTTTTTTTTTTTTTAAAGAATTGTTTCCTCTTTTACATGTGTATATATTTATGTTTATTTTTCATCAATTAATTTCTATTTTACGTTTTACTTTTAAGTTTTAATTTCAATTTATATTTTGTTTATTTTGATTTATATTTGCGAAAGAAATAATGTTTGAAATTTGATATATCCTCGATGCTTATTTATTTTATATATTTTCTATGAGGAATATTTATTTATTTATTTTTTTTTTTTTTTAGAAATAGATTCGTGCATATTAAGATCTGTTTAAAAACGAGTCCCAGATAAGATCAATTTTTCTTCTGCTCTATTCTTGTCTCTGCATACATCTGATACAGTTAAAACTCGTTTTGTATGCAAGATTCATACAAAAGAAACGCTGTATTGATTGTAGCGCGAAGATTGAGAATGGGCTGCCGCAATTTGCCACACCGTAAATTTCGTATATATGTATCTTTTTTCGCCATATTCGTAGGTCAACGATCCTCTGCCTTCCATTAATATTCTTTGAATGTCGACTAATATCCTGCAAGAAGGTGAAAGAATTTCCTTTCATAGCTGGCATTCTATAGGCACAATCTTCAACTCCTTTCTGAACTTTGGATTTTTTATTATATGATACATAATCCTGAATTTTAAATAGTTTATAATATTATTAAATTAAAACAGTTCAAATGATTCAGTCAAATTTCTTTTTGATATGTTCTTTTTTTTTTTTTTTTTTTGATTTTATAATTAAAAAATATATCTAAATGATAAGATTTATTGTTAATATTCCAAAGTGCTATTTCTTTTAAAGAAAAAATATTTTCGTAACGATTTTCTTTCCCGAATATAATAATTTCTATTTGTGATTGTAAACCATAAGAAATTTTTCTTTCTTTTTTATCCACAGTTTATCAACATTCAGAAATTCATTTCATGAATAATCGAAGTATCGATGAATGTGACTTAACAATGGATTTATAGTGATCCACATAATTTTTATATTATTTTAATAATCTATAAACAAATAATTAGTGATTACAATGCAGTTTATATGCATAATAAGAAATAATTCCACGTATCTATCTAAAAAAAAATTAATCTTAATCATTGTAATTAAACGAAATATGAATTACAGACTTCCTCGATCGTACTTCTCACCGATTTCGCAAGATGTCGTTAATGAAGTTACGAACGATTATATTGACGAGGGTTACCATAATAGTAGGCGAATCTGTTAACATTATATATATATATATTTTTTTTTTTTAACTCCTTTCTCATCGAATTTCCGTTACCAATGTTGCACAAACAGTCCTAGTGGGCGAGTTTCCTGACAGAGTTCAACATCGGCAAGGTCGGTATGTTCAATCGTCCGGTTAAGATGCCTTGTAAGGAGGGACAGCGAGGCCGTTTCGTTCGAAAACGCTCCTTTCTTTCGGCCCTACATTCGTTTCTCGGAATCTATCGTTGTGTCGATCGTTGATCGCTGTGGGAAAAATGTATGTCGCGAGAAAGATATAACCATGCGTTATATAAATCGTAAAAAGAAGTTTGGCGGGCTCTTGAAGGAAATCTTTCTCTCGATTATCTAGATTTATTAGCATTAATGTTCAAATTATGTGCATAATGCGTATTTACCGACTATTGATAAACATACCTGTTTTCGTATTTTTTATCTTTTCATTGTTTCAATGTTTCAATGTATCGTATCATGTACTCAACCTTGTTACTCATATTTACGTAACAAATAGAATGAAATCAATTTGTTCTTCGTATATGATAAATAGGTACTATTTATGTAATTATTATGTAATTATTGAACAGGCGCATACTTTATGCATCGATGAATATTTTATTATTTACTACTTGTTAATTGAAAAAAATAATTTTTCTTTTTAATAGTTATTATTGTTTAAAATATTTCCTTTTTCAGGACCACAGAAATTTCTGCCACCGTTAGTTTATCATTGGCGGTTGGGACGATGTTTGGCAGCGCTACAAACGATCCTCGGTGTCGCTGTTACTGTTTTATCATTATGGTTGCTGCTTTGGGCACCTCATTTGCCAATCACGGATAATCCTTATTGGAGTGGAATGCCGGTAAGTATTCAATAGTAATTCGACAACAATAATTTTTTAGTGTCTTCCTTCTAGAAGAAAAATCAACGAATTAATAGTCACTCTTTTCTTCTTTTATTTATAGTTATTACTTTCGGGTAGTTTTGGTATTTGCCTGCTGTGTTGTTTCAAGAAGGAATATCCTGGTATGAGCCCTGGATTCTGTCTCACGTCGACCAAGGTGATAATTCATTGAATTAATTATAGTTTTATTAGATAAAATAATTAATAGCTTGTTCTTTCATCTTTTATTTATCTCCTTTCACTTACATCATGATCTTTGAAGAATATATAAAATATTTTATTCCTAAACACACTGATCCATTTTTCATAGAATCTTCTGTATTTTCACATAATTTATCTATATTTATTTGATTAAATAATTATCTTTGTAACTTACATAACTTTCTTTTAATGAACTGAAATTAAGTTATTATAATAGTGTTTAAAATATGTTTTATTTGAATATTGTTTGAATATAATTGATCTCTGTTTTTTTTTTTTTTTTAAACAGGTAACTAGCGTATTTTTAGCTATTCTAGCAACAGTGACGTGCTCCATCGCTTGCGTATTCTCTACGATACACCTGGCGCGCTTAATGGGCCTGGAATGCAACCCAGCACGCGTATTGAATGCTACTTGCGTGTGCAAGCCCCGCGAGAGTGCATCAAATTCCACCGAAACGGCAGTTAGATACATTGACCTGAACTGTCCCGAAGTTGAGAGTATCCTGACCATTCTTCTAATTTTTTCCTCCACTTGCAACGCTCTTGGAGCCATAGTAACTGGCTGGTATACTTATTTACATTGGAGCACTAGGAACAAAAGACCAAAATACATGCAAGTCAGGACAAATCCGATCAGTGGGAACAATTTCCTGAGCAGTAGGCCAATATACAATCCAAATTTGAGCGAACGATGACAATCTTTAAACGACACTGATGGCAACGATATCTCGTATCTTCGTTATTCCTCGTTAACGATGGATGATGGAATGTTTTGAAGAAGTCTCGAATAACGACAGAGTTTCTCATGGAACTGGACTCATGTGAACAGTAATAATGGATTTCACTGAATTTTTTTTTAAATAATTAAAAGATTAATTATAAGACGGTTAATAATAAAACATTAGTGTTTATTTATGAGAGATATCAGAAATAAAATATTGAAATACGTGTGAACTAGTCTCGGATGTGAAAATAGATCTGTGCATGATTTTTGAAGATTATTTATAATGGACTTTTTGAAAAAGATTGTATTGATCATTTTCTTGTTATTGATACAAACCAGTAGTATTTTTTTTTAAATGCAGAGATCAAGACAAATAGGATAAAGATCGTACAATGGAATTTACCAATCTTAATGTGTTCTTAATATTTATTGTATTAAAATGTATTAAGTGATTCATAAATTTTTAAAACGTGATGAAACGTGACTCTATTTTAGATATTCATCAGTAATATAGAAGAAATTAATAAGCAATAATAACTTTTGGATTGAAACAATTTTCCCTTATGTAATTGAAGAATAAAATATTACTGTATGAACGTATATACATATCATTAATATATGATTGATTAAGAAAAAGTTTCTTCCGATGATAGAAACATATTTATAAGGGAAAAAAATGTGTCAATTTCTATAATATTATAAACGATGTAATAATTAATACAATAACGGGTCATTCCATGCGTGATTAATCTCCGTATGGATCGTCAGTATTTTAGATGTAATTAGCAATTATAATTGAATGTAAATTGATTGTGTTTTGTGTATGTGTTTGTACGTGTATGTTTTGTGATCATAAACAATAAGTAAATTACACACAAGAATGAATGAAACGCTTTTAACTTCTTTATTTTAATGTTATCGATTTTATACCTCATCTTGAATACGTGTATTTTAAGAAATTTTAATTTTTAGAATCGTTCAAATCTATAAAGAAGATGTTTTTATCATAAACGGATAAATAAATTAATTATAGTTTTATTAGATAAAATAATTAATAGCTTGTTCTTTCATTTATCTCCTTTCACTTACATCATGATCTTTTGTAGAAGTTGTTTGAAAATGATTTTCTGATTTCTTTTTGATCTCGTTTATGCGAATCTCTGGTATAATAGCGTAATCACTGGATTGTAATTCCCAAGAATTGTGTAAAACTTTTATTAACCTGCTTAAAAATTTTTGATTAACAATCAGTATTTATCAATCATATTTATTTTTTAGAATAATTTAATTTAAATGTAAATTTTTAATTAATCAATCAAATTAAAAATTGTGATTTGATGTCCAACACTGTTTTTAATAATAATTGTTAAGAAATAAATTTAATAATATATATAAAATAAAATAATATAATTTACATATAATTTAAATAATAATATAATAATTTTTTTAAATTAATAATTACTTGTTAGTAACTGGTTCTTTTTCATTGTTATCACTTTCAGAAAATGTGTGTTGTGTTTGATCATGTAATATTATATCCTGTTCTATAAATTTATCCGTTAATTCTGAAGCTGAATTTTTCCTTTCATCTTCGTGAACTTCTATCGATGCATTTTCTATTTCTATAACTTCTGAATCATCTACAATTTTATTAATATTTTTGAAAAAATTACATTATTTTAAATTGAATCTTATTGTTTACTTACCTTTAAGAATTTTCTTTATTATCGATCTTTTAGATAAAACTGGTAACATTTTTTTGAATTTCAAAATATCAGACATTTCTTCCCTTTTTTTCGCTATTTTAAATAATTTTCGCCGTTCTTCGGTACGTTCATGGCGCAATTGTATCTGAAACAAATAATAAATGAATTATTAAGTTTTCGTGATGAACAAAGTTAATAATGAATCGATAATTACCTTTAAATCATTATTAGCCTCTCTCAATGAACCGGTAAGTGATATCATATAATAAATAATAAGTATCATGAGAACAATTAATGGAATTACTATACCAGGAGAGGCAATATAATCAAGACACCTGAAACCAAAAGGAATGATGAATAAAAAATAAAAATTATAAAATGCAGAAAATACATAACGTTTCTCTTATTTATTTTTTCTTAATAATTCTCTTTTTATTTTTTCTTAATAAAAATAAATTTGCATAACTATACACATTTTATTAAATAAATATATAATTTTAAAAATATTAAATACAATTTAATTCAATTATATCTACATACACACATACACAATTAATATAAAAAATTACTAAATACCTCTTAATTAAATCAGGAAGAGAATCAGTGAGCTTTTTCGTCGCTACATGATAAATTTTCTTGTAACCAGAGAATGGACCGCAACACAATGATGGTTCTACCCAAACTATAGCATAGCCAACGGGTAGAACGCATAAAAATAACATTATTAACAATAAAGCAAAGTAAAAATTGTTAGATCTGAAAAAGAAAAATAATATTTTAAAACCTAAACGAGTAAAGACAAATAAATAATAATACAAGACTAGTGAATTTTTTATTTATTTTTAAGAGTTGTCAAAAAAGAAATAATTTCTTTTTAAATAAAATAAATAATTTCTTTTTAAAATATAAATGTGTACCTGGAAGCTCGAAAAACTACTTCATGTGGTATATTACAAGTCATAACAGCCCAAGATCTAAGGTACATGAGAATTGCAAGTTTGAAAAGATTTAAAACCATTAATCCAGGACTAAAGAACATTCCCATCCATATTATCCCTTGATTGAGCACCAAATGAAGTATATTTTCAGCGATTTTGAAATCACCATATTGAGGGAATTGTTTCTCAAGATCCCAACACCAGCAACCGTTCATGAATCGTACGAAGACAGCACGAATAAAATCTATAGTTAATGTATTTGCTATGATAATTATCTATAATAAGAAAAAAAGAAAAAGAAAATTTTAATGTTCTTTGATAAAAGAAGAAATATTAATTCTTTAAGCCTTAAAAGCAAGATTACTAGAGATGCTTATAGATTTTTTTTTTTTAAGATTTAGCATTTCCAAATGTATACAAAATATTGAATCAAATCAATTTTATTAAATATCTTTTTAAATAATAAATCAATTTAAACATTTAAGCAATTTAATATTAAAAAAGAAGAAAGTGTTACAAAAGAAGAAATGTTATTCTCATAAAATTATTCAATTGTGAGAAAGAATCTAAATTGATTCTATTTGGGATTCTAAGGATAATTAACAAATAATTAAGAAATATTATATAAATTCACCAAGTCCATTACAGTAAGCTTAACAAGTTCTTGTCCAAATACCGTTTCCCAACACGAATGGCAAAGCTTCTTTCGAGTTTTCAGATCTAATTCTTTCAATGAAGAAACTAAAATAAAAATAAAAAAAAAAAATAACAAAAAATTAGGATTATTTATTATAATTATTATACAATTAAAATATACATATGATATATAAATTATTTTACTTGTATTTGTATCTTCTGTAGCCATGCAAACGTATTCGAAACACTTTACGTATCTTGTATCTTTTTCTAATAGAGAAATCACACTTTCGCCTAGTGTTGAAGATTCAAGAATGATAGAAATGTTATCAAACATTTCTGTAGAAATAGATTCCTCAGTAAATTTGTTCGTAATTGTCGCGGATTCGATATTTGTATTTAACGTTTTAATTATCAAATGTTGATAATTATCTTGTGTCGATAATGATGTTGAATGCTCTTCCATTTCTGTGACTCCATCTCTCTCTGAATTTACATCGAAAGTTTCAATAATATTTGAATCAATATCTGTAGTTGTACTTATATTATAGTCTATTTTTTCAGTTGTTTCATCTGAATAAATTATAGATTCGTTGAAGGAGATACTAGTCATAAAAGTGGTATTAGTTTCTTCGTTTGAGTCTATAAGGGAAGTTTCGGTAAAATTTTTTAAAACAATGAAAATAGTTGTTGCACTGATGTTATCGTTTTCAATTATTTCCGTTGTAAAATTGACTTCCTCAGTTGTATTCTCGAGTGGAGGAAATATAATTTCATTCGATTCGTTTGTTTTAACATAGTCGTAATTATCGTAATCTGCAAGAAGATAATTTCGAAATTATCTTCTAGGACATTTTTTCTAGGAACTTTTCATCGAGTATCGAGTCTAGGTATAATTTTGACAGAGCTGAATTATTCGAGAAAAAGATTCTTGTAGTAAATGTTAAATATTAAAAGAAAAGAATTAGAGATTAAGAGATTATAAATAAATTATAAATAGAAAGTAGAAAAGGAAAAGCTATATAGAAAAGAATAGAAAAAGAAAAATATATATAACTGTTATAAAAATGCGAATATATTTGAGAATAAAAATTTGAAAAATTATTTTCAATTTATTTTTAATAGTTATTATAATTGAGAATAAAAGTTATTGTTATTTTCAATTATAATATTGCAATTTCCAATTTAAAAAAAATAGTTTTTTTTTATTTTACAAATTATTTATAGTTAACCCAATGCTTTTGGTTGAAAAACTCTGATCCATTTGATGTAAGATTTATATTTTGGAAATCAAAAGAAAAAAAAAAGAAATAGAGATATAATAAACAAAAAAAAGAAAAATATAAAAAAATAGAAACTTATATTCTTTTCTTAAGATAAAAGATAATTGAAGATCCCATAAAAATATAAAATATACGATAGAAAGAAAAGAAAATTTCAAATGCAATGAAAACGTACTTGTTTCAGGAATTTCTTTCTTATATTGAGTTCCAGTTAAATTTGCCAAGATTAAACTTAAAGATGCCAATGTTATGAATTGTTGTGATTTGGATATATTTTTATCACATTTAATAGGCTTGTAAGTTTTAATAGTACAATTCTTAAATGACTGATCTTTTAATTGTTTCTACAACAATTAATATAATGAATATTTTTTTGATTTCACATTTGAACAACATAATCATATATATTGTATGATTCACACTTACCATTGAATCAATTTTTTCAAATAAAGCAAATATTAAAGAATACAGATTCAGCATGTTCAAAAACAATATTCTGCAACAAGTCGATTGAATCAAAGATAACAATCATAAAATTAAAATAATTTCAGAAAAAATTAATAAAATCAGAGGGGAAATTTACCGTGCAAGCTGCAAACGCAACTGCTTCCTGGGATGATAACTCTCCAACAGGCCCAATATCTCGAAGAATACTGGGAACAGATATGTGATTAGTGACAACACGACTGTAATTTCGTTTTGACGCCACCAATTACTCTGTTCCTTAGAACTTCGTGCAACAATTTTCACTACGACATAGGCTGACAATCCCAATAACGCTATCACTGATACATTAACGAAGATCCTCATCAATATTATCTTCCAACTAAAATTTTATCATTAAATTAGCATTAAATTCATGGAGCATAATAATGAAATTATAATAAAATCCATATTAAAATAATTTCAAGTGTAATAAAATATAATTAGAAATTATAAAAATTCACTCAATTAAAATGAATATAGTAGATACCTGTAGTATATTACAATACATTTTTGCATATCATTATATTTACATATATAATTATAATAAAATTATTAATAATATAATAAATAATTAAAGATAATTAAAATAAAATAAATAATTATAATAAAATCCATATTAAAATAATTTCAAGTGCAATAAAATATAATTAGAAATTATAAAAATTCACTCAATTAAAATGAATATACAAATAATAGATACCTATAGTATATTGTAATACATTTTTGCATATCATTATATATTTATTATAATATTTACATATATAATTAATTCATAATAAAATATTCAATCACTTTATAGTTTACATATTTTTACTATTAATTTTATAAATTTGATTATGAAAATAAAATATAAATGTAAATTTGATCAAAAATCAGAGAATAATGTATCTTGAACCCTCGATACCAAAAATATGTATAAAATTTAATAAAAATAAACTTTATAAAAATATTAATGAAATAATAATGGAATAAGGGAATACTTTTTCGAATGATCTCACTTTCTCTCGTCTTTTTCCTTCTCGGCCTCTTCCAATAAAGCTTCTTTGAATCCAAGCACGATATTCGCCGTCCTATTATGCGCGGTTTCAGGATTGCCGATCATAAAGTCCCAACCTGTGAATAATTTCCAGGAAAACGCGCATTCGTCCTCTTTTTCACTGAGTTTGCTCAACCGAGAATTTTCTGCCATCCTAAGAGCATCATTTGTATCTGAATTGTTTCACAAATTAAACAAATTAAATATTAAGCCTCGCATTATTTAGATTTTAGCTCGATTCTGATCAAAGTATGATTTCCATTATTTAAATATATTGAAATATTTTCAATAAATTTAAGATTTGGTCGAAAATTTATTCGTGAATTATTTATTATCAGGCGAGATTTAATATTCAGATGAGTCATTGAAAAATAATTACATATTCTATATAAATTTGTTTATATCAATGTTATTGAATTAATTATTTTCCAATATTTTAAAGTATTCGTTATGGATAATTATAATAAGATCACAAATTTCATTTATTTAACGAACATAATTTTTTCCATAAAAAGTTTCCGTAATAAGCGTGATATCTCATCTTAAAATTATCATCAAGAAGAATATTCGAACAAATTACTCAAATTTTATTTTTATATTTATAAAAATTAGAGAGATAAAATGGTTTATTACCGCGAATAATAATTGTTACGCTCTAAAATTATTTAATTGATTAATTGATCGCAAAAGAAAATATTTTGCATTAAATAATTGAAATTTATGTTTCTATTAATTGCAAGCAATATTTTTTTAATTAAAAAAAAATATTACTGATAACATTCATATAAAAAAAAGCAATCAATTTAATTAATTCGAAATATTAATATTTCGATTTATCTTACTTGCGCAATATGGCGAGGAAACTGTAGATGTAAACCACCAAATTAGTGACGAAATAAGCTAGGGGTAATCTATAACCGCTTTGCGAATCTTTGTTAGTGTACCAGCCGTAAAAAAATGGCGAGTACTTCAAGATTCCTTCGAATTCCCATAGAGTTAGCAAGTTCTTCGACTTTATTTTCTCCTCTTCGAGCATAATCTTCCCCGCCGCAGTTTCGTCTGCTGTGAGCATCTACATATCGCGAAAAATATCCAAAGAAATTTGACTGCAACTACTTTCTTTTCTTTTAATAAATTAGGAATTAATTAAATTTAAATTTCTTATTTTTTTTTTTTTTTTTTTTTGCCAAATATTTCTTAAGATTCGAATCTTCTTCATATTCTTCTTTCATTTTTCAAATTGGTGTGAATGTGTTGAAGAAAAACTCATAATGATTTTCTATACTTACTTGCTTCTTTATTTATTCTTTATTAGATTTATTTAGAGAATATATATCATATTATTATTTATTAGAATATATATCATATTTTGCCATTTAATTAAATATTATTAGAGGATTGTTTAATTATTGAAATTTTTACCGTACCTCGGGAATTGCCACGAAAGCAACGAGGATAATTGCCATAACGAGATTAATCCAAAACAGCCATCGAAGGAAAATGAAATACGAGGCTACAGCCGAACCAAAATGCGACTCGATCTCTTTTATGCGAAATTCCCAGGGAATCAGCCATGTTTGAAGATTCACTACCTCTCTACGGCAATATTGCCATTTCTAGAATTGAATGAAAATTAATAAAAATCGATCAAGCACGAAATCTACGGCGGATACAAATAATTTTTCTTCACAAATTATTACTTTCGTGGCGAACAGAGAGACACGCGCAATGGCGTCTTTAGTGCTTCGAGTCTGAGCCAATCTTTCCTGAAGAACATCCTCGTGCCTTCTCACGTAGGATTTTGCTTGCCGCACCAGCTTTATTTTCCTACGAAGCGGCCAAGGTTGCTGCTTCACCCCGCTCAACACCTCTTTGTGCAACTTCAATTTCTCGAATATCTGCTCCTGGCTTCCGCTCTCCTCTATCGAGATCGCGGTTCTGCACAGGTTTTTCACGACATTTTCTATCAATCATTTTCATTTTATCGAACTAACATCTTTTTTTCTCTATTTTATTAATGTAATAAAATTAAATGTAATGTAATGTAATGTAATAAAATTAAATGTAATGTAATATAATGTAATAAAATTAAATGTAATGTAATGTAATAAAATTAAATGTAATGTAATGTAATAAAATTAAATGTAATGTAATGTAATATAATAAAATTAAATGTAATGTAATGTAATGTAATAAAATTAAAACACTTCTTTTCGTTTAAATTGCTATGAGTACATTTGTAACATCGATTATAAGAATGAATTGAAAGAGAAGGTATTGAAGTACTAACTCTCCGGAGCTTATAGTATAAGCGGAAGATCTTCGATGAAGCGTACCCTCAGCTTCGATGCCGAAAGGAGAGGACGGTCGACGTTTTCGCCTATTTTGCCAACGGCTAGAACTTCGTCGTTGCATGATCTCGCACGCCGAGGCAGAGTATTCATCCTCGTTATCCTTCTCTTCATTAAAAATTCGCACGTTAAATATAATTTCTTGTAGATTATTCATTATATAAATCTCTTAAATATTAATTTTACATACAAGTTAAATACATTCGTTGGACATATTTGAAGAGTCGATTTTAGAAACTAGAAAAAAAAAAAAACAAACATAAAAATTATCGGTTAAATTTATAAATAAGATTGTAAATTTGTGCAAAATTTATGTAAAATTTAAACGTATATACAAATATTTACTAGAATGTAATGATATGCAAAAAAAAAAAAAAAAAGAGAGAGAAACAAATCTCAATTTAAAATTTTATTTTTATTTCGCATTGGTTTATAAAAATATTATTTTGCATGAATATCCATGCAATCTAGTTATAAGCAATTGAAATTAAGATGAAGGGAAACGCATGTAAAATAAATATTATTCTATCTTCATCTTCTCTTGTATTTCTATCTTATTTTATATTTGTTTTGACCTCTAGAATCTCTCTCAAAAGATGTCCCATGAATATATTAACACTCTGTATAGGATGCCTCATCTAACTTGAACATCTTAAATAAATATCTCATTTATTATTCATAGAAAAAGTGTCGAAGAAAAATATTAGTTGATTTAAAGGTGTAAATTTTATAATAAGCAAAAAAATATCTCGTACACGTTTTGAAATATCAAGATTTGAATCGAATAATATTTTTTTATTTGATATTTTTCCCTATCATAAATAATAAACGAGATATTTAAAATGAGATGAGGTTGTATGTGTTAAAAAAAATTATAATATTTTTATTATATTATTTTTAAAATTTTTTACTAAATAATAAAACTCTTTGATCATTTTTTTTTTTTGAGTTAATACTAAACTTTTCTTTATAATAATGAAAAAATGAATATTAAATTTTAAAAAATGAATATTTAAAAACTAAAAATATAATTTTAAAAACTTATTCCTCATATATTATAAATTTAATTTATTTATTTTAATTATTTCGTGTTGTATAATAATTTATTTTAATGAAATATATTATAATAATAATTGTACATATAAAAATATAAAAATGTAAATCTAAATAAAATAAATATTAAAGATATTGTGTTATAATACCAATTTTTATTTTTATATTTTTTCTTTTTAAAAAAAAATATTTAAATTCTAATGAATTGCCTTGTAATCCAAAAATAAATATTCTTCGATGAATTATTTATAATAATAATCTCTTTATTATACAAACCAGCTACAGAGATTATCTGCATATTCGTGATATTTCCGATGTCAATGATATTTTCCCTCTTTTTTTTTCTTCACTTAATTCAAACAACTTTCTCTTATATATTCTCGACGTCTTCGTCGACGAAATTGACAATCGGTCGACCGACAAAGATGAAAGTTTCGCCTACAATAAAAACCGAACAATTAGTTGCACGAATTTTATCCGTAAATCATGCCACGCATGCCACGTATTCATAAGCGATCGAGCATCGAATGATGAACGCACACGATTTCTATTAAATTGATTATAAAAACCAATAAAATTCGAATTTAATTGTAACGATATTAATTAGGAAAAAATCTAAAGGCGTTATAAAAGGTTTAAACGAAGAAATCGATTGATCATAGAAGATGCCAAGCATATGCACACTTCTTCTTATTAAATTTGTTATAAAATTCAATAAAGTTTCTCGTCGAATTCAATTTTTAAAATTATCAATCAGAAACTAACACTATTATCTTTATAACGTAGGAAACGATTTAAATGAACAATGAAGAAATCGATTGATCACAAAAGATGCCAAGCATATGTTTGTAGAATTAATAAAAACTTGATTAAAGAAGTAGAGACGAAGTAGAGACGATGGATTCAAAAAGACTGACAACGTGTCGAATAAAAGACAACCTGGTCATTCCCTAGTGGAAACACCCTTGTGTTAAAATCTATAAATTGATTGTTATGTCTGTTCTATTTGATATTGGGGATGTCGTGTCTGCCCACGGCACAAATCTTCGAAAGCTCACGAAAGCTCGTATATTAAGAATAAGTAGATACTTCATTTAACGATCGTTTTGTTAATTGACTGTTGTATTGGATAAAAAAAAAAATAAACGCGTTGATCTAATAATAATATTTCAATTTAATTACAGAAAAGAATATTTGAGATAAAATAAAATTATTTATTATTTTCTGTATTGCTAAAAAATAATTTGAAATAATAATAAGAATTTTTGTAAAATTATTATATTATAATACTTGATTTATTTTTTTATTTCATTAGAATTTAAATATTTATATTTTTATATATATAATTATTATTACAATTTTATCTCCTAACAAGTAACGTTAGAAAAAACAAATATTATAATGTCGTTTTTTTTTAATTAAGTTAAAATATTACAATGAATATGCTATAGTAAACATAAATAAATACAAAATTTATAATACATATACTCTATAAAGAAATGAGTTTTTAAAATTATATTACAAAAATATACATATAATATCATTATATTATAATTTTTAATTAATTTTGAAATTTTAATATATTTTTATTTTTTGTAGAAATATGAATGATTAATTTAAAATATCATATACTAGTAATAATAATTTTTTTAATTAATTCATGTTCTTGCATATATATGTGTAATTAATTTTTAAGAATATGAATTCGTAGATGAGTGAACAATGATAAAACATGACAAATGTGTCAATGTAAATGTTCGGAAAACTGAGGTCACATGCGACGTGCCGCACCCTAGATAGTAATCATGCTCACGTATAACTCGCATTCTTCACGTGACCTCACCTTACGCTTTCAAGATAATCATTCTTTCTTCAGAATTCCACATCATGTTATACGCGAGATTCAAAAATTCCCAAAATTTATTTTCTTCTGTTTTTATTGTCTATCTTTAATAAAGATCTATAAACTTTATCGTTATTGTTATCATTTTTATAACACTTTCATTAAAATCATTTGGAATAATTTTTAAAATCATTAAAATTGAATTATATATATCATTTTTTCTATTAAAAAATTCAAATTTTATTTATTAAGCAATATTAATGCTTGAATTATTATACATAAAAATATTATCTTTCATTTTTTATTTTTATTAACTATATTATTAATTTAGATTTTATGTTTATTGTAATTGCATTTTATGTGTTTTATAAAAAGAAGTTTGATATAATGATATAATTAAGAATAATTAAAAGCTTTTACATTCAGGAATTTAATTTTCTCAAAACTTATTTTGCTAATTAGTATCAGATGCATTCTATGACTACTCATTTTTTAAGAACTTATCGAGATTCGATAACAGTTTTTAATTCTCACGTAATATTACATTTTATTTTTGATACATTTGCTAATTGAATCAATACGAATAATAATGGATTATAAACAAGAACAAATATTCTATCATAGATTATCTCTAAGTTTATATAAGTATATAAGTTATATAAGTTATATAAATTATATAAGTATATAAAGCACTTCATCTTATACATGATATTTAAATGACAATTAACTATATATTTGTAGGTTTTAAAAATTGAATGCTTTATAAAATTACAAAAAATAAAAGATACGGTAAATAATAATAAACAATTGTTCACTAATATCATTTTTCGAGAAAATTTAAAATTCCTTCTTAATCGTAACCGAACAAGATTTTCATTTATTTACATCTCTACTGTCAAATTTTTACCTCCTTTTAAAACATTTATCATATATATATACTATATTTTTCTCATTCTAGAGATGAAAAGTCAAGAATATAATATCCATATTTTATACATTACTAGCTGACATATAATAATTTTAAAAGAAAAATAATAAAAAGTTACCCAATTGATATCCTTCATTTGTAATCATATACATAGAACAGAAAATAGGAGCTTAATAATAATATAAGAAGAAAAGAGATACATTACATAGGAATCAGCGCCATCTCTAGAATGCATTATACAAATAAATATAGACAGAGAAAGCAAATAGCAGAAGAAAGATAGAGATAGAATAAGAATTGACTACTAATGCCATCTTTTGAGTATACAATTAATCACTTAAAAACAAGTTGAGATAAAAGAAATATTTTATATTACAATTATCATACAAGTAAAAATTTAATATAAAAAAAAAAAAAATATACGATGCATTTCTTCATTCATCGATTTGAAAAATTAAAACATAGATTAAAAATAAGTATAGAATAAACATATAATATATTTTAATGATTTAAATAACTACAGCAATAAAAATATATCATTTTTATGTCAATCCCATTATTACCACGAAAATCAAAAATTTTATTGTGTTCTCATTCATTAAATTTATAATTCTGCGGAAATTATAAATATCACAGCGAATTAAAATACTCATAAAATAATAAAAATTTTTGAAACAATTTCCAAATTACTTGGCAAAAAAGTAACAAAAGAAACCCAATTTATTGAAATTCATTGAATTTTTTATCAAAAATTATTATTAATTAATTTATTCATTATTAGTCAAATACCATATTGTATATTTTTTTATGAAAAAGAAAATTAAATAATAATTTTTATAAATAAAAATGATTATCAATAAAAGAGATGTTATCAATAATTTAATAAATAAATCTTAATAACAAAGTAAAAAAAAAATCGCGAGCGCAGCCAATTAGCTCATATTACTTGTTATAAAACTTACAATTATATCATAAATATGATTATGAATTTTATAGCAAATAATAATGATTTTCCAGGTCTCACCGCGTGGAGGTTGCTGCGAATTGGAGACCCACCCTATCCACGATCCCATCCATCCTCCTTTACGCAAAAATATTTATTTAAAAACAAAGATAAAGCTTCCTTTTGATGTAGATTTGCAAAACGTTCCATCTTTAGTCGTTGTGCAAAACAAACAGCAAAAGGAATTCTAAGGAAAACCGACGCGACAAGCTAAACCTGAAAGTAAAAATTAATTTATATTTTGATCATATATAACTCTACATGAGATACAAATACGTCACAAATATGTACATGTATCAATATTTTAAACATTCATTATCACACAAATATAAAATATTGAAAATTATGAATATGAGATTGAACAT